GTCATACAGCTTTCCCTCAGTCACTGCGACACGATACAACTTTTCCACGAAGACAGGAGCAAACTCATTCACATCATTTACTCGAACGTGCACTGTGGCCCTGATGCAGAGAAACATCAGTAAGAAGTTATTGCCTGATTAGGAACCATACACCACCCAAATTTCAGATTACATCACTCCCATAAAATGTACCAGTCTGACTTCCAGATGTCAAAGGCAAGGACAAGGAAAAAGACCTGGGTTTCAGCCCAGCAATGTTGGTACATAGGAGCTTGTACTATGGTTTCCCATCGCAGAGGAAGAGTAAAAGGACTGATAATGTCATCTGGACCTTCTGCCTGTATTCAGTAATGTAAGGCACCACTCAGACACAACTGTCAAGCAGTCCTGGTTTCTGGTGTATTTTACTCGTGTGACTCAGCCAGTGCACAGGACCATCACATTTTTGTTTGGTCATATTCACATGTTGAGTTACAGCATCACGGCTAGAAAAAAAAATAACCCTGGCTAAAGGAAGGGCCCCACAGCATTTTTCACTTGCATTTATGTGACATTTTGTAACGTGCAGTAATGACTGCATGGACTTACTTGTGTGATTTCTTGGTATTGGCTCCATCAGGTCCCTCTCCACAGTCATAGGCCTGGATGGTGAATGTGTGCTCTTTATGGGCTTCACAATCCACTGGTTCCTTGGCCCGGATCAGTCCCTCACCTGTAGCTTTGTCGAGGATCACAGCTTCAAAAGGCACCCCTGCCCCATGGATCCTGAAGCCACAGATTTCACCTGGCACCCACAGGTGGAGAGGAAGGGGAGAAGAAAGAGCACTGAGGAGAGCACAACATGACCCCTTGCTTCCCACTCCCTGATTTTCTTCCTTTCTAACTTACACTCTCCTTTCTCCTTCATTATCATCTTAGTGTGGTGCAGTTGCTGGTTTCCTAGGAGTTCCTCCTACCAGCTCTTACAGACAGACATCCATGATGTAGATTGCCCTCTACTGGAGACTACTCCCACAGCAAGATCTCTTGCCCAGCCTCAAGGAAAGCTGGAGGCTACAAGGCTTAAGCTGGGGGTATGAGGGTTATACTGTCAAAGTACTGAGAGAGCACCTTAGTTCATCTCTCCACCCCTCAAGGAGGCAAAACAGGCCATATATTTCAGACAGACATCCAAAGCATGAAGATCCACGATGCCCCGTCCTTCTAATACAGGACGTGCACAGTATCTCAGGGAATTACAGATAAGGTCACCTAAATCTGAGAGCTCAGCTCTCAGGGACCCCTTTTCCTCTTCCAAAGCTGAGGGGGCTTGCATGAAGAAGCTCCAGCCATGGAGCAAACACTAGGAATAAAAAACCTTGTAAAAGCATCAAAGCATTAGCTGTACTTTCAGGGATTCGTGCTTCCTGTGAGGGATGTGGAACTGCCAGCAAATTGTGCCCTACCAGCTTCCTCCAGCCCTCACAGACACAGAGCTGTGCATGTGATCTTTGGAAATAGCAGAACTGCGTCAAAAAGTAGCTGGCTCCACCCTCAGTTCCCCTCCCTAAGGGAAACAGCTCACAGGATCCTAAATCAAGCTGTGCCCAAATTGGCTCCAGACTTCACTGGGGACCTCCTCCGAAATGAGGTTTGGAGGTGATCATTTCCTGAACAGAATCCAGCACGGGGATGAATGTGACCCTGCCTCTTTGGAGGTCTCTCCCTGCCTCCCACCCTTCCCAAAGCTGCTGCCCACCTACCTGCATAGCGCAGTGGAGCATCTTTGTCCAGTGCAAACAGCGGTGGGTTGAGCAGGACTGTGTTGTCATTCTCCATGATGATGCCCTGATATTCAGCTTCAATCCAGGGTTTGTGCTTATTTGCTGAGACAAAATTTGGGGTAAGGGATGGAGCACAGGAGAGTATTAGCCAAAAATGACAGGTTCAGTAGAAAAAGTGCAGCATATCATCCAGTGGCAGGTAGCAACCACCCCTCCCCACCTCCTTCTCTGGAAATAAAGAAAGCTGAAGTAGGCTGGGAAGAAACAGCTATTTTTCTTCAGTTCTGTTCTACCTCACTCCTGGGAGACCTCACCCGAAACAATGTGTTCCTTCTGGCCTTGTCATTACTCTCTTGTTAGAAGCACGTGGAGAGGCATTTGGGTGCCCAGGAAAGCTGGAGCAATTACAAAAATGAGAGCAATAGGCACGAGTAGTCTGACTCTGGAGCAAGATTCCAAATGCTAAAGCCTTTAGCTCACTGAAGCCATAATTAAAGGATCCAGGAGACACCTTCCCTTGGGGTGTCCCCAGGGGATAAGTCTTGCACGCAGCCATTACCACCTATGCCTTCCACCCTATGGACTAAGGCCAAGGATCTAGACACGTGTGTCCAGGTACACTTTTAGCCAGTCACCCTACACGTATAATATAATCTGCTGAGTCCCTTACTCCTTCCTTCCCCACTCCATGGTGAGCACCATATTCCTTTGGCCCCTCCTTGCTGATCCCGTTGGCTGGAGCCCAGCCAGGCTTGGCATGGAGGCAGCCTGCCAGCAGGAGGCTCTGAAAAATGTCACAGGCCCAGAAATAGCAAATTAATCTTTATCACATCAGCTCCAGGGCAGGGAAAGGGAGAAATAAAGGGGGATGGGGGGGGGGGGGGGGAGGGAATGAGAGAGGAGAAAAAATCGTTATAAATTAAAAACCCCTCCCCCATGCCCACTCCCTGCCAAATGGGCCTCAGAGATTATATTACATGTCCTAGTTACAACCCCCATTCCCAGATAATCCCCCACTCTCCCACCCCCTGGAGACCGAGATTTATTACAACCAAGCCATACTCTGAGCACAGCATGGCTGGTGGGGAGCTGGAGACCGAGCCCTTCCCCTCAAGGGCACTACTGCCAATATGTGGATTCAGTCTCTGCAGCACACGTCCTGCCAGGGCGTCTGTGTTGGCTCAGAAGGGACAGCATCCCCTCCCATCGATCGCTCCTGCCCATCAGGCCCAGGACGTGCTGCTGGAGCTGGGTGATGGGCCAGCAGGCAGGACTGCAGCTCAGAGCGGCTGGCCACAGCTCGGCGTGGAAGCGAAGAGTGTGGGCTGGCATTTCTCTCTCCCCATATTGATTAAGATTATAGAGCATTGCGTAGGAAAGCCAGAGCAACATCCACCCTGCTCAGTATGCAGGAGGAATCCTTCCTGTGTGCGAGTGCCCACGTCTCACGCCACCCCTCCGCTGCCCCCACCAGATTCCGCTCTGTGCCAGTCCCAGACCATGCACCACAGCACCGAGGTGGGAGTCCACAAATGCCGAATGTGCCCTGTTGCTGGGGTAACAAGCTGGTGGTAGAGACAGAAACCCTTTGCTGCATCCACCTGCAACTTGGGAATCACCAATCTGATTTCTTGGTATGCGAGTTCTTGGGGATTAGAAGTGCATTCAGGGGATATTTTTAGGATACAGACTCCCACCAGTTTCAAGAAAGCTGCCTACAAAACCGAAATCATTTGCCAAAGGTGGGTACATATTTCAGCGTGTCAATTCACAAAGGTGAGAGAAAATACAGAGCACGAGGGGCCTTGCCTTGCAGCTGGGTCCCTTGGAGCCCGAGCAGTACAAAAAAATTCCCCTACCAGCATCAGTGTACACAGAGCCCTGTCTGTAGCTCTGTCCAGAGCACCGAAAGCACGCTAAAATGTCACATTCCCTGATGACCCTTGAGTGTTTCAGATTCCCCCACCCCATCCGATTATTGTCTCGCTGACTCCCCTAGAATGAATTTCTCATGCCTGTGTCTATGGCCACAGATCTAGTAACCTACATCCTTCTCCATCACCCTACGTGTTCAAAGAACATCTGCATGCAGAACGCTAGAGCTGTAGCATTTGGTTTTGGTCTTTTTTATTATTATTATCATTTTATTTAGCACATAAGATACTGCCTTATATAAGCAACCTGCACAATTAACACGTAACCGCGGAATAATTCCTATTGACAGATTCTAGATGCATGAACTAGAATCGGAAAATGGAGATAAGAGGATGTGTTTCTGAGACAAGAGGGATCTGTGGAGATGCAACACATCCCCTCTCCGCATGTTAAGGAAGGAAAGCTAAACCCACACGGCAAGAACTGAAACAAAAGCAAGGCAAGCGGGTGGACATGGGGAAAATGAGGAGGGAATGCTGAAAGGAGAGAGAATATAGGAAAGGGAAAAAAAAAAACAGGTGGTAAGAGCCGGGTGGAGAAAGTAGAGGGAGGGGAATGGGATGAGGGCGCTTGGAAGGGCAAAGAAAGCCTGAGAGGCTGGGGACCCTCGGAGATGACAGCGGGGAGCCGCACCGCAACCGCAGATGGACGGACGGACAGATGGACGGATGGATGGACAGATGGATGGATGGACGGACGGACGGAGGGATGGATGGATGGATGGATGGATGGATGGATGGATGGATGGATGGATGGATGGATGGATGGGTGGGTGGGTGGGTGGATGGATGGATGGACGGACGAGTGGATGAACGGATGGATGGACGGATGGACGGATGGACGGACGGACAGATGGATGCACGGCCGGATGGCGCTGCCAGCTGCCGCTCTGCCCTCCGCGGGGGGCGGCCGGGGGGGGGGCTCGGCAGCCCCTGCCCCGCCGCCGCCGTCCGTGCCCGCGGCGCTCCGCTCACCTTTGTTGGCGGCGCCGCCGGGCAGCGCGGCGCAGAGGCAGAGGAGCGGCAGGAGGACGGCGGCGCGGGGCCGCGGCTCGCCCATGGCGGCGGCGGCGGAGGCGGCGGTGGGCGGCGGCGGCGGGGGTCGCTGCCCGGCCGCGGTGCTGGACGGCGGGGGCCCGGCGCGGGCTGGGCACGCCCTGAGCTGCCGGCACCCGGCACCCGGCACCCGGCACCCGCTCCGCTCCGCTCCGCTCGCACCGGTGCCGCTCGGCCCCGCCCCGGCACTGCAGCGTGACGTCACGGGCGCGGCGGCGAGCACGGAGGTGCGGCGGGGGCGCGCCTCTACCTCGGGGGCGCGCGGCTCGACGGGGCGCGCCCGACGCCCGCACCGGCACCGGCACCCGGACACGGACACGGACACGGACACGGACACGGAGCCGCCCCGACGGACTGCGCGTCCCCGGGAGCGGCGGGGAGGAGATGTCCCGCTGCTGTCCCCCGCCCCCCCGGGGCCGGGCGGAGGTGCGGGGAGCGGGGGCAGTCCCGGCTTTTTCCGCGCCTCCCCGAGCTGGGACTTTTAGCGCAGCGAGAGGCCCCGCGGCTCGCCCCAGCCCCGCTCCGTGCCGGCCCCCGGTCCCCGCTCCGCTCTCCGCTGCTCCCAGCCGTCGGTCCCGCCGCTCTGCCCCGGGATGCCGCCCAACCTCACCGGGTATTACCGCTTCGTCTCCCAGGAGAACATGGACAATTACCTCCGGGCTCTAGGTAATCCACGTCCTCTTTCATCGCTTTTACTCCCCTCGGTCCCCAAAAGCGTCAGCCCGCGGGATCTGGGAAGGGGAGGAAGGGATCTGGGTAACCCCAAAGCTTTGGTTGTTCTGTCTGCCCCCGTCCCTGGGAGGGGGAGAGGAGGTACCCCCAGAGCTGAGGCTCCCTGGCTAGAGAGTGAAGCAGCTCTGCGGGGGGGCCCAGGCAGCCCGCAGATCTCCCCTCCGTCTCGTCCTCCAGATATCAACGTGGTCCTGCGAAAAGTGGTTTGCCTCCTGAAGCCCGATAAGGAGATCATCCACACGGGAGATCACATGGTCATCCGCACCATCACCTCCCTTCGGGACTACGTTATGGATTTCGACCTGGGAGTCCAGTTTGAGGAAGACCTGGGGCCCGTGGATGGACGCAAGTGCCAGGTGAGAAGCCCACGCGGGGCTGGATGAAGGCAGACAGGGGTGTGCTAGGACCTCAGGGACTTGTCTAGGTTTTGGTTCACAAACAAGGTGAGAGCCCAGGTCAGAGCTGGCCTGCCCCGGCAGGTCCAGGAGTTACTGGTTCCATGAGTACATCACAGCAAAGGGGACGAGCACCACACAGCCAAAGGCCCAGTAGTTTGGGATCCAGAGGGTACTAGTCTTTTGGGATAAAGCCCTTAAAGCCCTTTATCCTTTAGGGATAAAGCCCTTAAAAAGATAGAAACAGCCCATTTGTCAGTGCTCAGTTGCACATGGGAGGCAGAGGGCCATCCATTCCCCACAAAGAGTCAGTCCTGAGGACTACCAGAGTGCCTAACTCCTACCATCAGTCCTAAGGAGCTACCAAAAAGACACCAGATCCAGGAATTAGTTTGAAAATATGTCTGATGGGAACAGTCGATGTCATCGCTGGAAATCTGTACTGTCAGGAGCTGCTTTTGTTGGGACCGCGCCTTCCTCCTTTTGGGTTTATTTATTATTTTTTTTCAGACAACCGTGTCCTGGGAGGGTGATCAGCTGGTGTGCGAGCAGCTGGGAGAGAAGAGGAACCGCGGCTGGAGGCACTGGCTGGAGGGGGACCGGCTGCACCTGGTGAGGAGGCAGCGGCGGTGGGCGCACACGGTGCAGGTGCTGGGGGCCCCGAGCGAGCCTGCGCGGCCTCCTTCCAGCTCCTCTCGGGCTCCAGCAGCTGCTCCTCGGGAGCAGTGACCACCTCCCATAAACATCCGCCTGCAGGGTTCAAAAGTTGACGGCCGTGCCCCTTCCCAGCCCGCGGGGTGCCCCGACGGGGAGGGGGGGATGGGGGAGCAGGCAGGGCCGCAGCCTGAGCTCCGTCTCCTCCTTCCCCCCCTGCAGCGCATGACGGCCGAGGACGAAGTCTGCGTCCAGGTCTTCCAGAAAGTGAAGTGAAGAAGATGCCCGGCCGGGACCTTGGCTCTCGAGTGCGAACCGCCGCGGATTAAAGCAGCAAAACACGGCCGGAGCCAGCCGAGCCATGCGTGGCGACCTCCTTCCTTCTGCGGGGAGGGACGGGACGGGACCGAGGGGGGGGCCCCGGGGCCGGCGGTCACGGCGGGGCCAGGCCCGCGGGAGGGGAGGGGGAGGCGGCGAGGGTGGGGGGAGATGGGCCGGCGGGGGCACGGAGGCTCCTTTCAGAATAAGAGCCGGGAGGGAGGCAGGGAGGGCTGGAAGGAGGCAGGGAGGGAAGGAGGGAGGGAGGGAGGGAAGGAGGGAGCGAGGGAGGGAAGGAGGGAGCGGGGCGGGGGCCGCCCCACCGCCCAGCACCGCGGGTCCCCGGGGTTGTGGCTGCGGGCACTCGGTGCTGCTGATCCCGTTCCGGCCCCTCGCAGCCCCCCCTTGTTCCCCGCCTGCCTCTCCCCGGCCCAGGCAGCCCCCGGGCCCCCTGCGGGAAGCGGCTGTGGTGCCCCGGGGCAGTGAGGGTGGCTGAGGCTGCCCCGGCTGCGGCCACCGATGGGGATCCGTGGCTCATGCTGCTTGCAGGGATCACGTTTATTCTCAGGGTACCAGGGTCCTCAAGCTATGAAAGAAATGGGCCATCGACCGTGAGGATTTGGGTGTGAATTCCAAGGGCTGGGGCAAGGGGAATAATCCCGTGTTCACCATGTTCGCTGCACTTGAGAAAATATATAGGGGGAGGGAGGCTCAGGCTGACCTCCAGGTGTAAGAAACCACTGCCTCTAGTCCCAGTACCCCTTCTGCCTTTCCTTGCACTGCACCCCTTGGCTCTCATCGCTCCACAGCTCCTCGCTGCATCCAGAGACTGAGGGAGAGAATCAAAGGAGGTGAGGTCCCCTGAAAAGAGGGACCAGTGCCAGAGACAGAGGTGTCCTTTAGTGAGGACAACTGATGGGATGTGCAAAGACAGGAAAAAAAATCACATACCTGCACCTATAGAATCATTAAGGTTGGAAAAGAGCTTCAAGATCGTCTGATCCAACCAGTCACCCTGCTACCAATGTCACCCAAAAGCCCTCGGGGAGTTATTTCTGAAATAAACTTGTGGTTTCCCCCAAACAAAAGATTAAAATGTTCACTACTCAGAAATACATAGCTACTGGCACTCGAAGAGCCATGAAGTAGGCAGATTTTGAAAATACAGGCCCTTTTCAAGATGAGCAAATAATACAGGCCCTTTTTCAAGCTCCTAAAAAATAGCCCTTGAAAATACAGACCCTTTTCAAGCTCCTACATACAAGGAGTCCTTCCGAGCTGATTCTGATCCTCAACATCAAGCTCACTTCACCACATCCAAACCTGATATCCTCCGGGCTGTGCAATCAACAGCTAATTTCAGGCTCTGCACCAAAAGCTGGCCAAACCAGGCAGGCCTAGTGGGCAATGTGTCTGGCTGCTCCAGATGGACGCATCTCAAGCTATGCACCCTTGCTTTGTCAGCTGAACTGCTCTCCTAGTACTCCAGATGGTGTCACCGGGGTGGAGGGCAGCAAACACATGGGATATTTGACATGAAAGTGCCACCGGGAACTCCTAGTAGTGCCCCTTGGATATAAGATTCCTGTCAAGAACACACTGAAATGATCAGCTTCCTTAAAAATGATCCTAAAACACTTCTGCCCATCTATTCTTTGCACGTGAACACCCTCTTCCCACCAGCAACCTGTTGGTAACACGTCTCTCAGTAGTTTCTAGTGCTTCTCAGCTTCTTTCCAGAAATAGTGATCTCTGAGTAAAAGCTTCCCTTCTGGTAGGACAGTAAGCCACAAGAACCTGCTCTAGTGCAGCACAGAAGTGAGGCTGCCCAAGAGTGTTCATCAGGCAGGGGAAATATTCAGAAACCAGGAAGTACCAAAGTTATGTCCCCTGCTTAATCTTAATTCTGATGTGTGAGGCCATGCATTATTGCAGGAGCACTAATTACATGTTTATGTGCTCTTTTCCAGATAATAATTCAGACATTTTGATGAACAGGTTTTTGAGTCTTCAATGCACTTCATAAAAATCCTGGGGGAAAAAAAACAAAACAAAACAAAACAAACAAAACAAAACAAAAACCTTCATTCTTTTTAACATTATTTTCATATCCATATTCAATATGTTTTTGTAGCTGTGGATTATTCCCTATAATTTAAAAGCAAGAATGTCATTAACTTCTCTGTATCTGTAATTCTAAGGAAAAACACTAGAATGGTGTTTTACCTGTTACTCCAAACTCTGAAAGCCATGAAATTTTAAACTTCATGAAGTTGGTGGCACACAGTACAGGGCTTGGGCACTGTCCTGATAAAAGCCTGAAATGTGTTTGTAAATCACTATCTTTTCTCATTCCCTCATTAAATAATGAAGGCCTTATCTATCTTGTTTCTCCTAAACACGCTTCAGGCTTTTGCAGAACATGCAGCAAAGAGGCCTTGAAAAAGGACTTGTTATCAGAAGGTTTATAATTCTCCAGGTCTGTTCATTTCTATCCATACCTATTCAGCTCAGATGTCTGAAGTTTCTTGCTTTCCCTGAAGAAGCTACCAGTTCCCATCACAAAAAGTTAAAATAAATAAATAAATGAAAATAAATGAAGCACTCTTCAGCAGACCAGAAATTGTTTAAATTAAACAATTTGTTAGTACTATAATTTCTAGACTTCTTATGCCAGAAGACTTCCAAGAAGGAGTGGGAGAGGCTATAGGACGGCATCTTTAGAAGCAAACAAACTCTCAGCAGCTGCTAGGATGCAGATAAAGTCATCGCCAAAGGTCTCTGGTAATCATTTTTCCGCACTTTTCTGTAGAAGGGAAAGATGGCATCTGCCTGGCCTGGGATTTAACAGCCCCCAAAAGCCCTCTGAATGTTTCCCAGGCCGGTGTCCGCACCCGAGCTACAGCAATTCAGCAGCAGAGGGCAGCAGGCTCCGGGATAAGAGAGCTTCGTCCCGTCCAGGCTGTGTGCATTCCGACTTTTCTCTTCCCACCCTCTGCCTCTTCCCACCTCTGTCGGGGCGAAGGGCTTGCAGCCGCTCGGAGCTCCGGCCCGGACAGCAGGCAGGACGGGAGAGCTGTGGGCACCGCGGAGGAGCGCATGGAGATGTGAGTGTGGCCAGCTGGGGAAGGGGGACACACGGTGACATCTTCCCGGGAGGGAGCTGGATGATTAGGCTGTTCCAGGAAGGAGGTCAGAAAGGCTACACACATGCTCACTAGACCTCCATTAAAACTTTGCTAGCATGTACAGTTTAGGATCTTCCTGGCCAGTCTTTTCATGAGGTCTGAGCAATGAGCATGTTTTGGAGGAGCACGTAGTCCTGCTCCCCAGAGAGGAAGAGGGAAGGTCTGCAGGCTGAGAAAAAAAGATGAAAGCCAATTTTTGAAGAAGGGGGGCTCAGGCATGACCGGGTAGTATTGCTCCTTAGCAAACTGAGCTTGAGACCTTCAGACCCTGACCGAGCTTAACTGGGAAAGACCCTAAGCTATCTATCAGTAATCAGAAATGACCCACTGGCCCGGAGCCAAGGGGAACCACACTTTTGCTGGTTCCAAGAAACCGAGCCCCATGACTGGTGGCAAGAAACACCGATTGCTCAAGGAAATCAGCTACGTTTCTTCAAACTGCTTCTTGGGCTGATGAATCTCTTTGGCTTGGACCACTGAGCCTTGCTTGTAATTACGTGCTGTTGTCTTCATTTCAGTGATCCTGAGCGATCCAAGCCAAAAGCTGAACCTGCAGCTAGGCCTCCCGTGTTTTTGCATTCTGCTAGGCAGTGTGCAAGTCATTTGCGAAGTCTCCCCCGATTTCAGATGACTGAGTTTTGTGCTATGTCATGATGTAGTTGCCATGTTTACAGGCACAGTCCTTTTCTCCTGTGGGCCATCCTCTTTTTTGGAGTGACCAGTTCCAGTCCAGTGCCAGGAAAACTTTTTGGGGAAATCCGATCCCCAAATTACCCCAAGCCATACCCCAACAATAACATCAGCAGCTGGGATATCATCGTCCCAAAAGGCTATGTGGTGAAGCTGACCTTCAGATACTTTGACCTGGAGCCCTCTGAGTCCTGCTTCTATGACTATGTTAAGGTATGTGGATAGATCCCTGGGCCAGTGGGGAGATAGAAGTTGGAGTGTAGTGATCCCTGCACGAAACCACTGCTCATCTGCTCATTCACAAAGGCCTCCTCTCATGCTTCCCACAGAAGGAGGGAGCTAAAGGTGGTAACGGGGGAAGGAGGCAGTTGTGGTAGTACCGATGCATAGAGAAGACTCTTATGAGGCTACAGAGATTTCCCCTTAACCCCGACAGATCAAAGCAGACAAGAAGAACTTGGGCCGATACTGTGGACAGCTCGGGTCAACCACAGGCAATCACCCGGGAAGAAAGAAGTTTATATCTCAGGGAAACAGAATGCATGTGGAGTTTCACTCTGATTTCTCCAATGAAGACAATGGCACAGTCATTCGCTACAGAGGCTTCCTTGCCTATTACCAAGCTGTGGGTGAGTAGGAGATACCTTATCATGCCTATGTGGGTCCTACTAATTTCCCTCCTTGACAGGCAAATCAAGAGAAGCCTTGAGCAAGGATATGGATCTCTGTGTCTTTCAGTGTCCAGCAGATAGCTTTGACACTTCACCCCCCTTATCCCAGCATCTCTTATCTCTTCAGATCTGGATGAATGTGACCCTAACAATGCTGCTGAGGACAGTGAGGGGCCTCGGTGTCAGCACATTTGCCACAACTACGTGGGCGGCTACTTCTGTTCTTGTCGGCCTGGCTACCAGCTCCAAAGTGACCGCCACTCTTGCAAAGGTAAACTGAAAGCTTGAAAGATCAGATGGACAAAGGAGGGTCCCAGGGCAGGACCCCTTCAGCCAGGAAGGGTGGGGATGCAATTAACAGGGCAACGGGTGGTACAGCCCCACGTTGTTAATTCTGTTTTCTCCCCCTACCCCAGTGGAGTGCAGCAGTGAGTTGTACACAGAGGCATCTGGGTACCTGAGCAGCCCCGAGTATCCCCAGCCCTATCCTGA